ACTGTGAATTCTATGTGATTTGTACATGATTATATGATGATTCCTATGATGTAATGATTGATGAACTATGATGATATTTCCATGAGTTTTAATGATTCTATGATGACATGAGTTATGATGATGATTGTGATGTTGATTATGATGAATGGTGGTGCACATATGATGTTATTATGAAGATGATTATTGACATGTGCATCATGCATTCATGTGCATCCGAACTTCGGTTCAGGACCTTGATTTCTTTGGCTTCAGTCCCATTGTGCGGATGTGAGGTATTTTGATGTGCTCCGGTTCTCGAGTAGAATCGATCCTATTGATGGGGATCTATGGAGGGTTGATGGCCCAGTGTCCATCGAGCTGTGATGATTGGTACCACATGCATGAGTCTTGTTGCATTCGCATTTATGAGATGATCTTGAGTAATTTATGATGTTGTGGCCTTTGATGTCCATTGATGAATATGATGATGTTGAATATGAAAATGACGCCATTTTATATGTTGATTTCCTACATTGATTATTATGAATCGTTTTACTCACTCTGTCTGTTTGAATGTTGCCTCCACGTGGGTAACGTGAAGATGACCAGGTTTAGCCGTGGGCGCCGTCGAGGGCTTTTGAAGTTTTGGGTCGTTGGCCATGGTGGTTGACTTAGAGGGTCATACTCTGATAGTGTAACATCGAGTTGAGGTCTTTGAGTCAAACCTTATTTTATTTAATTTTGTTATTTTGCTTATGTTTCCGTATAAGGAAAACTTTGGATTATGCCTTTTTGAGTTCCGCTGCAATTTTTGATATCTTTTGAGAAAACCTGTTGTTTACGGAGCTTTGACTTATATTTGATTTATTGGAAAATGTACGCCCTTTGAGGTGATTTTTATTGAATTTAATATTTTACTCTGATAAATGTGAATACTTTGCCTTTTATTTTGTGGGGTAGAAAAAGGTGTTACATGTTACATCTACAACTTTATCATGGGAAGACCTTTTGCAACCACGTTAGACGTTGTAGCCTAGTTGGTGCACCTAAAGTTGAAGTATCACAATCTCTAAGGATAATAAGCCACCATTAATGCCCACCTCGATGGGGTAAAAAGAATCTACCAAGCTCTCTAGAAATATGAAGGAGAAGGCATGGCCATGGAGATCAATGTAAATTCCATCACCGAACCAGTCAAAAGGATGGACATTCCTCCTCCAAGAAGTGGCTAAGTTGGTCGGGGAAAACAAGAAGAATAAGTGGCGGCTAACCCGCATGGTTATGTTTTATTTGCCTCACTTATATTAAAGATTGTAATTTTATAACCATCATCCCTATGTACATGGATATTTTACGATTACAAATGAAACATTTCATTTTATGAAATATTTATTTATTTGTATTTCTGCATATTGATGGTGAATCTAGGGTACGACCAACAGGGTGCCGCGGGAGACGTTTTTCTTGTTCGGCTACAATCATCAATTCTCTACAATCACAAAGAAAATGATCACAAAGTCATGGGTGCTGCCGTGGACGTTTTGTATGTCCGACTGCACCAATCAATTCCCCACCTAAAGTCAAGGATGTTGGCATAAACTCTTTGTATGTCCGGGGTACATCAATCAATTCCTCGCCTAAAGTAAGGGGTACTATTGGAGTTTCTTTGCATGTTTGGCGATAATAACTAATCCTCCAACTAAAGGCAGGGGCGCTTCCAGATACACTTTGCATGTCTGACTACAACAATCAATTCCCCACAGGAAATAAGGTCAAGACCATCTGGCTAGCCACTGCAAAGAATGTGGTGGGTCAACCACACGTCTACCCTGGCCGGGTTTTCATATGGTGGGGGGAGGGGAACCGACCTTTAACCAGGAACGACTCTAGTGTCGTCCAATTAACATCGAGGGAAGACCTCGTAAGTTCGCAAAGATCCATAGCCATGCACTCAGGATCCTACAAATACACCTTAAACAGGTTACAAAAAACATTTAATTCCAAAAATAGAATTATATACATATTTATGCTTCCATTACATGGTACTCTACATGAAGTACACAAAAAAAAAAAAAAAAAGTAAAAAAGGAGGCCGATAGGGCTACTTCCGCAAAGAAATTATCTCTCCATCTTTAAGAATTTGATTCGGCCGAATTTTCTCCTTCGATACAATCAAAGGATGGTGAGAATTCCCCACTTATTGCAAAGAATTCTTAAACGATTGTGAAACGGCCTCAAGGGTAGCACTCGTACAGTCGACCAATTAATGAGTCAGAGAAGCATTCTAAAGGCGCAAAGATTTTAATTCCCCTGAATAGATGACAAAATGACCCAAGTAGAAACCAGAGCCTAGTTCTTCCTTGCGACTATCATCACTAGCTTGTTCACCTAGTCGAAAAGAGATCCAACAAGATTAAGAGGGATCAAAGCATCTCTCGTCTCGATAATAGAGGTAGAAACATTTTATTTTTCCTGCAGGTAATCATCCCGCTGGAACTTTAGGATGTGAACGTTCTCTTCATGTTGTAGCTTCTTCACATGGTGTTGGTCAGACCAAAGAGCTTCCCAACAGCCAGCTCCACCAAGCGCCAAAGCGGGAGAAACATGTCGGGAATACCAAGCCAGAGTTGCCAGTTCTTCCTCCAGAGTTGGATCGAACATATTAGCCAAGAAGAGCAATTCTCTTTAGAATGAGGGGTTCGACAACCTCCAAAAGAGCAGTAGATAGACCCCCCATCAGCGGTAGACAATTATTCAAACTCTGGATACTCGATAAAGTCAACATGGTCTCCAACACAACGTCACTCTCGGTCGGTTGTATACCCTGCCTTATAAGTTGAAGTTGTACTTCATTTTTCATATGATCTGCACATAATTTTTGTTAAACCAAATACGTCATGAATAAGAATATTAAGAACAAAATAACACGAAGACTCTAGAACTAACCAAAGATGACGTTTCTCTCTTCTCAGAAAAGAACTTCTATCAGCAATCGAACGTGAATAAGGCAATGCAAGCGCTTATTGTCGACCTCCTCTGAAGTATCTGATATTGGTGATGACGTTCATCATCTGTTTCTTCTAATACAGATCTTTATCAAAAAGATAATCTTCCTTGAATACATAAATATGGTTCCCTATAAGAAAGTTACTTTCACTCCAGTACTTGAGAAATAGGTCGACACATCTTCCCTTCATTCTGTCTCCAACAATGCAAACTGTAGCATGAGCTTCAGGGCCGATGTTGGTGACCGAAAAGAGCCATTCCTCAAAAGGATGTAGCTTATGAAAAGGCCTAAAGCCACAAACAATCGGCTTCAAACAAATTATTTCTCTGCCCCGTGTCTGGGTCACCAGGTCACATTGGCATTTAAAGAGGCAGAAGAAAAAGATCATAAAAGGCTTTCCTTTCAAGAATTCACACCAATACTTGTATACATTCACGTACGCCCAACTTGCAGGATGAAGTTGTGAATGAGCCATTGCCAGGTGATTCAAGACTTCTATCTCAAAGACAGTGAAGAGGAGACGAGGACCCATGTTGGATAAAGTGCACTCATAAAAAGGGATGACGTAATTACCGTACTTGTTGCATATCATTTCATCCTCAGTAGGATTCATGACTCCTCAATAGGAGCATAGGCTGACTTTGGTGAAATCGTCATCAAGACCACCTACTTTCACGAAAGCAGAAACAGTGGAAGAGTAGACAGAATCTACCTAAGAAGAGGACACACTCTTATGAGATTTGTGAGTATTCTTCTGTGATTTTTTTACCCTTTATGCACTAACTTTTCAGCTGCAGGGGAGTGAAACGCCGAAGAAGAAGATAACTGCTAAAATGGGAAAATGACTCAAAGGAAACAATGTTAATTCTTTAAGGATTTTACTCTATAAAATGCATCAAATCACTCGCATGCAACACTCAAGTGTTTCGGTTCCAAGAGTTACAATGATGACACTTCTGAAAAGACGTTTGAAGTATGGAACATTAAATGCACGAATCCCCAAGAAAATAGATCGTTTTTGTTTCGCATGTCCAAAGGCAATTGAGTGGTTGACATCTGAGGCTGACATAAAAAACCATCGCTTTATTGTGCATGAACAAGAGTTTAGAAAACAACTGTTATGGACCGACCATATCGACCTTAACTAACTATCATGATTCCATGAAGGAACCACACTCCTCCCATGTGAGAATTATTATCATGATGATTAGGAAAAATCTCAAATATAATAATTTGCTCTTAATAAATAACGACGTTGTTATTTTCACCTCTATATATAGAGAAGTTGACAAATTAAGATAACAATTTTCATGTCAATATCAAGTAATATTGATCGAACCCATTGGTTACAAGTAAAATTGTTAATCGTCATATCGACCATATTCATACAAGACGATAACTCACTCGTCAATCATTATAATATGATTGAAATGACTCAAATATTCATAAATTTTTAGTTCTACACAAGTGAAATTACAACAAATTACTTATTTTGTAAGTAGAAAAAAAATGTAACCATCAAATGTAATTTAATTTGTTTTCTTTTTAAACTGGAAATTTATAATAGTTAAACCTTATGTAGGATAATAACCTAGTGGTATGAATTAAAACATTGAAGTAGATTTAGGCGGAAGTTTCATGTTACTGTAAAAAATAAAGATTATTTTAGAATACTTATTGAAATACTATCAAAAGTGTAGTAATATACACAATAGAGGTCAACAAAGTCTCCTAATATTTCTCATATACATTCATCTCTACTATAAATTAACTAGAATAATTGCATAACAGTAGTATTTTATTATCCTAAAATAAGATGATAAGTACTTTTTTCAACGAAGAACAAAGCATGGGAAGAAAAAGTCCTGGTCCAAATAAACTGCACCAGTCAACCATGAAATCATTGATTTTCAGTTATTTATACTATAACCCAATGTTCACTCATTTCACTTCATTTCAAAGTTTAAGCTCTCAGAATCGCTTAATCTCAGAATTCAATTAACTTAATTCAAAAATGTGCACCTTAGAAAAGAAAGGCAACATTTTCATCCTAACACTAACCGGAAACAACGATCACCTTCTCAACCCCACGCTTCTCAACTCCATCAAATCCGCCCTCCACCGCGTCCGTCAAGAAGCCACCGTCTCCTCCGCTCTCATAACAACCGCACACGGCAAATTCTTTTGCAACGGCTACGATATCGACTGGGCACAATCCATCACCGACCGCATAATCCTCATCGACGATTTACTCCGTTCCGTCATCTCCGAACTCCTCACTCTTCCCATGCCTACCATCGCCGCCGTCACCGGTCACGCTTCCGCCGCCGGTTACATCCTCGCGCTCGCTCACGACTACGTCTTGATGCGATCCGATAGAGGTTTTCTCTACATGAGTGAGCTTGATATCGATCATGTTCTTCCTGCTTACTTTATCGCCATCGTTGAGGCTAAAGTTGGTAACGCGGCGGCTCGTCGGAGGATTGTGATGCAGGCGGAGAAGTTACCGGCTAAGGAGGCGGTGAGGCTGGGTATTGTCGACTCGGCGCATGATAGCGCTGAGGAGACGGTTAAGGCGGCGGTTAGTTTGGGCGGGGATTTGGTGAAGCGGGGATGGAATGGACACGTGTATGCTGATAATAGGAAGAAGTTTTTGAGTCACGTGATTCGGGCTGTTGAAAATAAAAGTGAGAGAGCCATTGAGTCAAAGCTATAGTAATTGTCACTTCACTATATTTGGGTTTTAATAGTGTATGTGTACTATAATCAATCATATAGTGAAAAGATAAAAATAAAGGAATAACTCTTTTTTATCAAATTAGAAATGATATCTCGGCACTTAAAGTGTACACCTATATTGTATGTCTCTTTTCAATATATTGGTTTTTTTATAATTTATTTAATATCTGATGGCAATTTAATAATTTTATGAATAGTGTTAGGTTAAATGAATATTAAATGTATTTTTGTCTTTCACATTGAATCTGATACCTCTCCTCTCAAAAGAAAAGAAAAATTCTCTCATATTTACCGTGTGCATCTTGACAACGACCTCCTTCGCACCGCGACGAATTGCCGACCACCGGCCTTCAACGTTCGAAGAACAAACAATTTCTTTGGTATCTTAAGGTTAGATGTTCTTCTTACATGAAAACGTGTTCAACGTTCAGATTTTTGAAAAAGTTCTGATATTGTTGTTAGAAAATGTGTTCTTCTCACAACACTATCTTAATTTTTTAAGATTCTGAGAGTTCTGTTGTTCAATGAGGGAAACTGAAAAAGGATTTAGGTTTAGGGTTTTTTCTTTTTAGGTTATTGTAATAGATTTCTCAATTCTAGGTTGTAATAGATTTCTTGTTATGTTACTGATAGTGTGGTTATTTAGTTTTGGATTTTACCAGGTTGAGTTCTTTATTGCTGAAACTATGGCATCACCAAAAAATCTAAATGAAATTGATGTAAGTTTTTATATTTTTATTGGTTTTGTTTTTCTGGTTGGAATGTTGGATCTTATTTATTAGTGAAATTAATTAAGTTTTTTTCGTGAATTTAAGGTACGAATGAGGCATAATTATATTCCAGTGAATTTGAGCATCATCAATGAAAAGTTAACACCAGGTCAACGAGCCCACATCGAATGCACCCATTCAAATGGGCAATGAATATTTCTAACAACTTCTCAATCTCAGGTGGTTTATTATGGGAATTAGTAAGTAGGTGGGACGTACGAAGTAGGAGATTTAGGGTTAGGGATAAGATAGTTCCTTTTACTTCGGTTGATGTTTGTTTTGCGCTTGGATTATCTATTGTTGGTAAGTCTCCGGTAGTAAAAGAAAACTAACAAAGTCAAACATTAGATCTATTTAAAGGGGTTGAGGTAGCCATTCACAATATTCGCAAACAACTTCGTTACCAAAAGAAAAAATCAAAAAAATAGTTAATTTTGTTAGACTTTACATATTACTTGCATTTGCGGAGTTTTACTTTCCCAAAACAGGGACTAAGGTCTTTATCGGATTTATTAAGCAATTGGATGATCTTGACTCACTTGATACATTTAGTTAGGGACTTGATGTTTATAACTTTATAGTTTCTAGTTTATGTGAGTCTTCAGTTGTGTTGAAGGAGGGAAAAAACAAGGCACAAAGACATTTAAACAGGTGTGTTGCCATATTGCAGGTAAATCTTCACATATAACTTTATAGTTTCATCATGTGTTTTGAATATTAAAAGTTTTGAAATTTACATCTTGTAATATTTGTTATAGATTTGGGCATTCGACCACTTATCTTTGGGGAAAGCACCTGTTATTACTACGTTTTCGTTTCCACGTGTATTGAATTGGCCAGTTATAGCTATGCAGAAGAAAAATATTGAAAAAGCGTTTGACAAAAATACGGTAAGATTTTATGTGTTCGATTTGAAGAAAATAGTTTTTATGTTGTCGTGTGTTTGAATTGATTGTTTTTTTTGTTAGATAATTGATAGAGTGGTTGCAACAGAGAAGGAACTGAATTATGACGTAGTCAATGCTGCTTTGTTTGAACAATGACAACAATTTGAACATGTGTATGATTATCAAAGATTAGTGGATGACAATAAAGATTTCAAGGAGAGGATATCAGCTCTTGAGGAGGAAGTGAGGATGATGAAAGAGGCAAGAGTTAACACTCCATTTCAGGATGAAGATGTTCAAGATGATCGACATCTTATTAACTTTGTAACTGAAGATGCATTAGAGACTTCGGTTGGAGATGTTGGACATAACACTCCACTTAATGATGATGATGCCATTGTTGAAGAAAACCTATCAAAGTTTAAATCTAACATTGCTACAAGAATGAGGAAGAAACCAAGAAAGTGTGGGAAAAGAACTAGAATGAATTTGTAATGCATTAGTGTTGTAGAAATTTGATAAATATGTATGGTAGAATTATGATGTGTTGTAATGTAGAATTTGGCACAATTTTAACGTTTGGCACAATTGTAGAATTTGTAGTTCATTTTGTATTTAAAGTGTTAATGTGTTGAATATTTTGAAGTATCATTTGGTTCCCTTATTTGGAAGTCTGAAATTGCATTATTGTTTATTGTGTTATTGTGTTTATGTTCATCATTTGGTTCCCTTATTTTGAAGTCTGTAAAGGCATTAACCAAGTTTGGCTTTGAAGTTTGGTTCCAGCAATGTATTAACCAAGTCTGGGACAAAACAATTCCCTTGTTTTGAAGTCTGGGAATGCGTTAACCAAGTTTAACAATGTATTAACCAAGTTCCAGCAATGTATTAACCAAGTCTAGGACAATGTATTAACCAAGTCTGAGACAAAACAATTTCCCTTGTTTTGAAGTCTGGAACTGCGTTAACCAAGTTTGACAATATATTAACCAAGTTCCAGCAATGTATTAACCAAGTCTGGGACAATGTATTAACCAAGTCTGAGACAAAACAATTTCCCTTGTTTTGAAGTCTGGGACTGCGCTAACCAAGTTTGACAATGTATTAACCAAGTTCCAGCAATGTATTAACCAAGTCTGGGACAAAACAATTTCCCTTGTTTTAAAGTCTGGGACTGTGTTAACCAAGTTTGACAATGTATTAACCAAATTCCAACAATGTATTAACCAAGTCTGGGACAATGTATTAACCAAGTCTAGGACAAAACAATTTCCCTTGTTTTGAAGTCTAGGACTGCGTTAACCAAGTTTGACAATGTATTAACCAAGTCTGGGACTGTATTAACAAAATAATTTTATATATTATATACACCAACAAAGTTTAGTACAATTGTTATAATGACAAAAGTAAATTTACAATCTTGTAACATGTACACTCCAAAAGTATATTTACAATCTTGCAACATTGAACTTGAATATTCCACCTGCACCACCAAATGTAATTATTGTTAGTGTATGCAATGTTTTGGACAAGATTAAAAAATATTTTAAAAACCATACCATCATGTCAAATTAACCAAAATAGAATAGATATGTGACAATCTTCCTAAAATACACATGCCACCAGTCAATAAGCAAAAACTCCCAAAGATCATCATAAATTTGTACAAACTTGGGATGAACCCGTCAAGGGTGTTTCGCATGTTGTCAAAAGATCCATGAATGACATACAAATTCCAACCTGTACAATAACATATAAAAAATATAAAATATGACGTGTATAAAATCAAATACATAATAAATTGGTATTACAATGATTACAATAATTTATCCGCAACAACTACATATGTTTTCCGCAACTCATACATACAAATTTCTCAAATTTAAAACACAACAAATTCCTCAAATAGTACATATGATTTCAAACATTATTTAATACAATTTTATAATGGACATACACCACAATAGACGAGTCTACACAATTTCCTCCACTAACAACCTCAAGAGATGATTCTACGCAAATATTACTTCCAAATTGATTTCCCACCATTCCAATGTTGCACTCCTACAGTTAGAGAAACAAAATATTTAGATTCCATATACATAACCATTCGTATAAGATATCATTTATGCATGAAAATAGACATACCATAGTAAGCTCAATGTGATATTTTTTTTTGTTCGTTTCCTTGACCTCTTAGTAATCGTTTCAGCGACGAATGTCTTTCTTTTAGATGGAGGACAGCCTTTTCGCTTGACATGTTTTGGACTGCGAATTCTATTACTATTGATTGCATTAGAATCCTCATCACCATTTTCTTCAATAAGTCAATTATCCTTTGTGTACATATTAGAGCTAAACAAACGTAATGTTTCATGGAGGTCTTCAGTAGTCTCTTCCGACTCAGCAGCTACTTCAGCAACCTCATAAAAATGCTTGCATAATTTATCAAACCTGTCCATTCGTGGCTTCAGCTCCGTTACACCATAACTAGTCTTGATATATGAATGCTTCCTTTTAATGTTTTTCTTCCATCTCGATAAAACATACTTCTCTACAAGACTTATAATCCTCTCCTGACTACACACAGATAACACATGTCGACATACAATACCTCAAAAATCAAATAATGAGCATTCATATTTGAAATCATGGTTTTCCTTATTAAGCACAACTTTTAAGACTCGCTCTTTGCGTAAGTCTCGAACTAGTATCTCCTCTAACACATAATACGTAGTAAGGCAACCTTCCACACTATTTAATGAGGCAGAACAATTCATCTTAGATCTAAATTCCACTTGAATTTCCTTGAATTTGGCATTAGTAAACTCACTTTGGAATTTCTTCTCAATGGACGAGTTTGACCCACATGGAATTATTGTGTCCATCGAATTAAAATCAGCTTCAAATTCCTTTTCTGCCTGACTTCTAAGAGCATTATCATATTGTTTCACAAACTGATTTAGACTTGTTGTAGAATTGATATACCCATCAAAGAAAGCATGTATGCTCTCACTACGTTGCGTAGTTGACATACCAGCCCAAAAATATTTCCTTAACAACGTTGGTGCCCATCTATGACGCTTAGTATACAACCCACCCAACCAATCATTTTCATGGAGGTCAAATTTTTCTATGAACGAACACCATTTTTGTTCAAAGCTATCTGTTGTGAATGTATCATACACTGCTTCTTTCATTGCATACTTGATCCTTTTATATTCCCCATATCCGCTAAGCTTTTCTATAACTTTTTTCATTATATGCCATAAACACCACCTATGACGAGTTGTAGGGAATACTAACTCAATAGCATTTTT